AGTTATCAGCAAAGCGTATTCGAAGCAGCTTATCCGGACGTGATGGCCACCGCACTTGATAGTCGTGTGGATACAAGACTCTGCCAGTTATCAGCAAAGCGTATTCGAAGCAGCTTATCCGGACGTGGCAGCCACCGCACTTGATAGAAGTTGCGCGGATAAGCTGCTTCCAACACGCTTTGCTGATATCTGGCGGAGTATTTTATCCACACGACATCTATCAAGTGCGGTGGCTGCCACGTCATTTCCGGTGACACGCCCAATCAGACTTCGAGATATGAACCAGATATAGTTCGCAACCCTGGAGACTAGGATGTACGTGACAGTTGGAATGATATTTATTGACGGGAATCAGGATAGTGGTTCTAGGACGGAAAGTGACTTTTCCGGTTACAAGGCTTCTGTCAACCAAAGGGTGAGAGCGTAGCTGGAAAAGCACACACTTTGTGTCTTATTGGGACTAAGCCTTTTGAAGAAGATAAAGAAAGAGGAGATGCTGTGATAGTGTGCACTTGTGAGAGCTCCCAGACATCACTACAAAACGCTGAACCGCCAAGGCTCACGGTTGACAGATGTCCTGAGACCGAATTTCGCGTTTCGCAGCGCGAAACATTTTTCGCTGCGGGAACCTCGGGTCCACTGATGATCAGCGGTGGACCTGAGGTTCCCGCAGCGAAAATGTTTCGCGCTGCGAAACGCGAAAAAGTCGCTTTCTGTCCTAGTGAACAACAGCATTAGGATAGTAGTAGATTAATACAGTATGAGAGTAGTATAGGGCGCTGACAAGGTTATATACGTATTGATCGATTCGCCCGAAGGCGCCTAATCTACTGCTCTCCAGTATCTTTTCAGCGCAATATCCGACCTACTACTATCTCAATATCCTATAGCTTACTTAACACATTCACGCCGATGGCCGCCCATATGGGCTGCCAACAACATGCGCTCCTGGGACGATGGCAGCCCATATGGGCTGCCAACTGATAATCGCTTGCCAGGCGCTAGGAATGGACAGATAGGTGGGCAAACCTCGTAATCGAGTGTAAAATGCTTTTAAATTCCTTCACGGGGAAAGTGAATAAATGCTCTCTTTTCGTAAAATCCTACTGTTATATGTTTAGATAATCTTTACGCATTGGACATTGCAGAAATTATTTTGTGACATTCATGTTTTTGTTCATTTACAAAACAAAATCTGCGGTTATGTGGTGAGGCGGCGGCGCCCACAAAATCGCGTCCGTCCCACGCGACCGAAAAGTGGAAAAGGGGCGTCGTCGTGAATGTGTTAATCTCCGAAGTCGCGGACTGTAAACGCGGCCTAACGGTAGTTTCAATCGGATGTCTCGCACGTCCGACACGCATCTAATACTTCTCACTCGAACAGCCGGACTTTCGAAATACCGCAGTACGCAGTCACGTGTTGTGGGATTTGCAGTAACACATTGACGTCCGCACTGATTTCGGTGCATGTCACACATGTGACATAGCTGCATTACCTGCGTGCATACCCGGCGATGCACAAATCTCACATTCGGGACATTTTGTGGAATTTCTCTACAGGACCCATATATCTCGCTACAAGACCCATGTATTTCGCCACAGGACCAACCGCAACCTCCCCATTGGGCTGGCAACCTACTGCTTTTTTCATTCTTTGTTCTATTTTCTCGTTTTTTTTCATTCGCTGCCTACTAGATTTTGCTCTGCTTCTCGTCAGAAAATATAGTCAGCAATTAGTAGCCGTTGGAGTTCATTGTTAAACAGTTCATGAGGGTTTAAACTGAGGCACTGGTTGTGCAAATTGAAGTTCCAAAAGTATCTTGAAATTGAAGATGGAGAGCAGCCATGTGTTTAGTGGATTCAAGGCACTAGTGGAACTTCTACAGTCACAGAAGTAATGAAAAAAGATATAAGGGAGCTTGAAATCAATGTGCATACCGGGCGATGCACAAATGTCAGATGTGGGAGTTTCGACGTGCATACCCGGCGATGCACGTAGGCTACAATGTGTTAATGCATCGCACCACCGCATCGCCCACCATGCGACGCGGCTTCGTTACTATCTCTACAATCGTAACGATCGATAATCGATTGAGACCGACCATAAATGTGCTCATGAAGCCGTGACTTCAGTACTGTGTTTCATATGCTACTTAAGATGTTTAGACTGCGCTCAATAATATAAGCTACTTGGTTAATAAGCCCACAGCATCGTCATGGACGCAACCTCTGAATATATCAGCGTGCAGGTATGCATGGAAGACAGTGAGTGTGATGTTTTTTGATCTACTTTTTCTATCTTCATTGACTCGCAGCTCAGTTTTGCGTTTTGGCGCAAGGTTCGAAATTGGGGCCTATTTTCTCATCATTAGTCTAGTTCGTTAGACGGCTGCAATACCAAGTAGGGTGGGCGCGCATTTTTTGAACAGAAATGTTTGTAAGTGGTACTGTTGCCCGCTACATCACTGTCACGAGAATCGGGGAATTCGTCAGCCAGGGGGAGTGAAGCCAATCTGGGGGGGTTGGGGGGTGAGGGCAGTCACTTGACATGCGTGAAAAGCTCGGCGCGCCCGCCCTACTTGTATAGCACGTCATCCCTTCAGTGGTTCCACTGCCGTTAATGAACGCATTGTGTTTGGATTCGATGATGAATATGGGTCGTCTCGGAAAAAACGCCAAATGACTGCAAAACGCGTATTCACAGTGTGAGTGTGGCACAACCTCGTACCACACGGTCCGTCATCCCTTCAGTGGTTCCACTGCCGTTAATGAACGCATTGTGTTTGGATTCGATGATGAATATGGGTCGTCTCGGAAAAAACGCCAAATGACTGCAAAACGCGTATTCACAGTGTGAGTGTGGCACAACCTCGTACCACACGGTCCTCGACGTGAGGCATTTTGTCTTCAGCACCATATGGTATCGTAGTAAGCAATTATTGGTTAGAGCTTCTGCGATCGAAGGATTGAAACTCCTGATAATATAAAGACAAAGTGGTCTCAATTTGTGGAACAGATTACAGGGGTAAAGCTCCTTTCAGTTGAAAAAAAATCGAAGCATCCATGCCAATTAATTAAACATAGAAATACCTTCATTAACTTAGAATACATATACATAATTCTCAGCAGTTTACAGATAAGGGCTGCTACTGCGCGAAACCTTCTTCAGCTAGGTTTCACTCAGTCAAGTATGGTTTGTGTAGATGCTTTGACGGATATCACCACTCTTTACCTCAAGAAAGTTGCCAACTGGGTGCAGCTATGTGCAGAACATGGTAAGTGTTATATGGAGAGTAGAGTTGTGGTCAACCTTTCCCTCATTATTTTGGTTGCACTCAACTCCACCAATGAAATGCTCTCACTTCACATGATGCTTAGTTTTCGTTCGTAATTTTTCTTATTATGTATTCATTTCCTTGGTAGATTCATTGATAATTCAGTACTCAAAAGTGCACCTTAGAACGTTGTTTGTTCTCCTTTCTTTCTCATCAAAAAAAAACTCAGTTACTGTTCCCAAAAGAAGATCGCAGGAATCATTTTTTTTAATCGATTAGACGGTTCTGATTGATTCTGCTTTTCTGATTCTTCTGATTAGACGCAGAAAGTATGACTCTGATAGAATTTCAAACACTTAGACAATTTCAAAAGGCAACCTTTTCATGGTAGCTTTGTGCTATGAGGCTGCGGAGATCTTATGGAAAGTAGAAGGCTTCGAAGACGGTTCCTCTCCGTTACTTACAGTCCCTCACTATGACTTTAGACGATGAAACTACCGCTAGTGTGGACATCTACTGTTTGCAGCTGTGTAGGCTTGTTGCATATCTCGCAATGTTGCACCTTCTTGTAGATGAAAGTATTGCACTGGATGAAAATTCTCGACCACATGTCGGGAACCAAATTCAGAAGACTATGCAGAAGCTTAGCTCCCTGGTTCTCCTCTGGCCGATATATTGCGATGATTCTTAGGCTGGTGTCAGAGTCCGCGATCCGTCGCAGGTTTCGCTGATTTTCGCGATTTGCGCGATTCACGCGATTTGCGCGATTTGCGCGATTCACGCGACGGGTCACGGAAATCACAAGTGCCCGATCAATACTGCAAGGTGTTCTCCAATCCTGCCGCCACTTCTGCTTGATAGTGATGGCTGATGACGACTGCTCAAACGTTCAAATGGGGCACTTGCAATTTTTGCGATCCGTCGCAGGTTTCGCGCAAGATCGCGAAAATCAGCGAAACCTGCGACGGATCGCGGACTCTGACACCAGGCTCAGGAAGCAATTACCACTTGTTCGAGCCTCTGATCACTTTTTATGAATGAGACCACGCTGATAAGAACACAACCTCCAATCACTGTTCGCATCGAGGATTGCACAAAGCTGAGAAGGGTATTAGTTCGCTCGCCGGTAGACTGTTGTGGGCAGCTGCGTTAATCATAGAATAATCTTAGATGTAAGGAAAGCTACAAAATTTCGAAAATTTGTGTCGAATGTAGACGTTTTGGACGGGCTCACGATCAGCCTAATATTTTTATGTGTCCTATTCCAATTAATGACTTTCACAACTTTTACCTTCTTTTGCTCTTTTTACGTTTGTATGGTGATGAGGTGGATGGCTCTAGTGCTTATTTTGACTGTATTAAAGAAAAATCCAAACCCTTCATGCAGTATGCATGGGGCTCTCAAACTTTTAGTGACTATTCCAGCTGGGCACGGGAAGCCATTGGTCAGTGATGTTAGCACAGCATTCGCGGTGATGAAAATTAGCGAACGTGAACTCTATGAGTATATGAGGCAAGTTCGACCGATGGCAGAATTTGAGAAGGTGAGACTTTCCTTGCGCATTACTTTTTTTCAAGTTGAAGTTCTTTGTCAAACTTCTTATTTTTCCATATCATTATCCCTTTCTATTTTTACCTTCCTAGGTAGCTGAAGATTGCGGAAAATTGTGACACCAACTTAGTGCAGTTCTTTGAACTGACTGTATGGTGAAAGATTGGGGGTCGTTCGTTTGATTATCGCTGAACTTGAAGTAACTGTGGACCAAGCAATCAACCCCATGACTACTACTATTGCTGCAAAAACATGTATATACGACCATCTTTCGGGAAGTCGACGAGCTTTTCTGGTATAGGGGCATACGTGTTGAGCCCAAGCTATGCACAAAGAATCTTCCCTTTAATGGTAGCCCACTAAACGTCAATACTATTCACCGCATGTACTAGATTATCTAGTGAAGTAAACTTATCGCAAGACTGGCTTGGTGTGGCTTTTACAGAAGGTAGTTCGCAGAAGCATTACCCATGACTAGTGTTTTTACCAGCGTTTGTTTATTTGGTATCTACATAATTTGAAGTTCGTGACAGATGGGGGCACCTTGGAGATTTTAGCTGGAAGGTAATCAGAATTTTCGGAGCTCGCTAACAATATTACCGGCCACAAACATCAAGTTCGGGCCGAGAGGTGATGTGGTAATGCGGGTGAAAAAAGTTAACAATGACATAGCTTCTGATTCTAAAAAAGCCGATGGTTACAATGCAAAGCGAGAGACAAGGCACCTACACAAAAAGATGCAGCGCATAATTTTAAGGTTTTTCGAGACCGGAACCTGCTCTGTTACGGTCTATCACATCCAGAAAATGAGTCGCCTGTCTTCCAATTTTTAACTCTGCCGAATTAGTCCATTGGCAGGAGGTGCCGCAACGCACTTATAATCCCATGATAGAATCGCGGATGAATCCTTTCTAGGTCAACGAAATTTCCACAGGATTAATCTCATCTAGTAGCGATAGCTGCGATACACATGAGTAGCTTTGCTTCAAAAAAAAGTTGAAGTAAGCCGGTTGCGACTCCCCCCGCCCTCCCTTACCATAGTGAAATCTTCTTTTATAGCACGTTCTCATGTGAGTCATTAGTTCGTAATGGAGTAGGAGCGAATGTATTTCTAGGCGCGTGACGGGGTCAAAACAAATTGAGCGGGATCTCCTGCCCACGGGCATGAATCCACATTACGAGAAATGGTTTTGACGGTGCCTGTACCAAGATATTTCCATTTTTTTTCAATTTTCAAATTTTCATTTTTTTTTTTCATTTGTGAATCAGGAGCAAAACTGAACTGAAATCTTCGATGTTAGCTTCACTATTTCAATCTGACTAGGGAAGGCCAAAAAGTCGGTCTGATCGTTTGCGATAGGGCGTTCTTCATCGTTTGTGTTGAGGCGGTGAGCTCAAACCGCTTTCCATTCTTGGAGCGACGTTGGACGTTGCGAATCAGCGAATCGTAGTACACGAGCAATGCACCAGCGATTTGAGGGTGACTCTCACAATTTTTCAAGGGCCGCGAGGGCATGAGAGCTAGGAGAACGTGGTGAGAGTCAACGTGCGATAAGGGGGATTCTAGGCTCTCTCCCCATTCTTGAATCGGGGATACACCGTGAACGCTGGCGCATCGTACGCATAGCAAAGTCTGACAAAGGCCCAGGTGGAGATGTGAATGGAATTATGGATGTTTTCCCTCGCACTATTTTGCATGCTATCCTTATCGAAAATACCCTAAACTGTTCATAAATTCTTCATCCGGGCATAAGTAGGCAAGCCTTGAAGAAGTAGTGTTATCAAAAGTCTTTCTATCAACATGGCTTCTCGTTCGTAAGCCTAAACAATCCCTACACTTTATAAAGCTTATCTGATTTAGAAATAATCTTAAAGGATCGTATAGCAGATATGGAAGGCAGTTCTTAGCTAAACATCTCAATACAAATGCAACGGTGTACACCTTATTTCATGCAATGGTATAGACCTATTGCTCTCCCCGCTCCCGAGCCTTGAACCTTGCCTCCGCATCTACCTCTGAGGCTGAGCTAGCTTTTTGTTTATTCTACTCCTTTTTAATTAACTCCTTCCAACAACCTACATATATTGACACCTTTTCGAGGACCTCTCCGTGAATACGCGGGCTTCAGTGTCTAATATTCGGAATAATAAGAGAGTGCGTGGGTAAAGAAGCTGGTCAATTCGTGGCTATGCGCTCTTTAGAAAGCATTTCTTTAGTAACTCAATACGCTCCCTGTTAATATGGTAGTCGGAACTTTTTAGGCGCCTTTGTTCCCGGTTGAAATCGTGAAGTCTAGTGGTCCTATCAGCATCCACTTACCTACCACAGAAATTGGTGCACTGAAAGACGAAAGCGACTTAACGAGTGACCATGCGACATCAGGCTTGTAAGATTCTGGCTTTCGATTTTGTATCGGTGTTTGAATTTTTTGATTTCATAGTAATATATAAAGAGTGCCCACTTGATTCCCTAACAAACTGGGGCGGCAGCCAAAATAATCATATTTTGAAGCTATGCTCTTAAGGAAACCATTGCCAGATTTCTCAGAAGCTACTGCTTATTCGTTGGGATTCGTTAGACCTGCTACTTCCCGATCTAACACACAACTACGAAACAACGTCAAGGTATGACCTATTACTTAATAAATCCGTACCAAGGGTTTCTTTATCTCCGTTTCAAATAGCGCACAACGCCGTATTCTCCTTCTGCGATTCATCCTCATTCGAAAATACCCAAGAATCGATACCACTCCGGTGCAAGCAGAAAAGTCAAGAAAATATGCGATACTATCGTCAATCCAGGTAGAATACACTTTTTTCTTCATTTTTCGATGTAAGTCACTTAGCTCCACACGTTTGTTAATATCTTAACCGACTATCCTCACTTCTGCTAAATTGACAAGTTATCACCAATCATTTAGCACTTCATCGTTTTCTTATTTAGGATCATCGAGCGTTTTGCGCGATCCATCGGAGCAACCTGAGCCACACGGTGGAGAACTCGAAACTCAAACCGTTGCTATGAAGCAAAGCAAGAGGAGAAAGCAGGTGGGAACCGGTCGTAAATAGGCCAAAATTTTCAAGAACTAGTAAATGATTCTAGTTGTGGTAGTGGCTCTCACGTGACATATAATTTAGGTTGCGGCAAAAGGACGAGCAACGACGAAGGCTCGAAGCGATCATGATGCTAATAAGTTGTCTGACGAAAGTAAAAAGAACGCCTTTGAAAGAGATGGACTTGCTGACAGTCAGGTGGAAATCAACAGCGCAGAGGAAAGTGGCCAGGCCGATGCACTTGATCCTTGTACAACCGAGAAGTTCGATAATGGCCAAACAGAAATGGCTCAAATTCAGCGAAAAGTCCCCCCAATTCGAATCAGATTTTCAGCCCATGGACCATATATTGTAAAGGAGACTCCCCCGAATTTACATCTTGCGCTGTTAGTGAAGAGAAGTAGTCTTTTCTCCCTACTGCTACAGTCTCGCGGGATATCGTCAAATACCGAGACGAGGAGAGGGAAAGCTTCAACTAAAGATGATTCTTCAAGCGTCCAGACATGTGAGAGATCGGGCACATCGAAGAAACAGGAGGCTAGTGATAAACTTCTCCTCGCGTACTTTTGTCAGTCCACGGACAGATGATTTTCGCATTTGATTTTGTGGTTTTTCCATAAGCAAAAACTTCAAAAATTGAAGACTTCTGTGCTTCTGTTGGAGTTGACAGCCGTTTTAGTGAAACCCATTTGATAGGTTTTCTGTTCAGACTTCTCGTTGCAAGAAAGCGGTACCCACGTTCCCATATCTTGCGTCGGATTTGATGAGAAGTTTGTGACTTTACTTGCTTGACTGTTTTATTGCATTCCATTTCTTCTTAATGTCTCGATTTTATGAAAATACACATATGAAGCATTTTCAGATTCCTATGCTGTGCTGACAGCTTGTATGACGGGAAGAGCGTTTCCAATTGTGCCTCATCAGGGGAAGCTTCACCAGAAACCTCAGATCCGGCGAGAGATGATTTTTCCTCGAAAAGTGTTGTCGATGAAGTTATTTGGCGTGGCCTTTTCAGTCAACATGGCGTTATTCCAAAGAAAAATGAAGAGGTGAGTTTGAGAGTAGAGTGACAATGGCCCAATAAATCACTTCTGCAATTTTAAGTGGCCTCCGTAATTTATAATTTAAGTTCCCAATGCAAAACTGATACCGAAGTCATAACGACTCGTTGCACTGCGGCTTCGGTAATGGACAGGTTGGTGAGGAATCAGTGGAAACTCGCCGTATACTTCTAACACTGAGCTTATTCGCGCCATTCCACATCCCATTCACCCATAGTTTAGCCCGCACCTACCAGTGGGACACATATCCACCTCAATTCAGAGAAATTTTTGGAATGGGCTTGTCACAATTCTCCGTACGTCAAAGCAACACCCCCATCAGATGCCGTTTTGAAGAATTTGTTTAGAGCATGGGATTAGAATAGCCTGAGAATAGCACAGATTCGCCGTGCCTGTCGCAGCTCGAAAAGCGCGACAGTGCGCTAGGCGTCTTAGGGTAAAGGTGCATGTGCGTGACTAATCCTTAGGCATTTTCGACGAGTTAAACATCTCCATGACGCGAGCTGGATTACGGGCGGTGGGTGGGTGGCACCGCGGGGGGTGGGGGGGGGCCCGAGGAGGGCGGGGAGGCTAGTCGCCGGCGGGGGGTGCCGGGGCTTAGGCCGGGGGGCACCGCGCGTGGCGTCCGCTATATTCTACAAAGAAAGCGGGGGGGGGGGGGGGGGGGGGGGGGGGGGGGGGGGGGGGGGGGGGGGGGGGGGGGGGGGGGGGGGGGGGGGGGGGGGGGGGGGGGGGGGGGGGGGGGGGGGGGGGGGGGGGGGGGGGGGGGGGGGGGGGGGGGGGGGGGGGGGGGGGGGGGGGGGGGGGGGGGGGGGGGGGGGGGGGGGGGGGGGGGGGGGGGGGGGGGGGGGGGGGGGGGGGGGGGGGGGGGGGGGGGGGGGGGGGGGGGGGGGGGGGGGGGGGGGGGGGGGGGGGGGGGGGGGGGGGGGGGGGGGGGGGGGGGGGGGGGGGGGGGGGGGGGTGGGGTGGGGGAGGTGAGCGCGGGGGGCACACCCGCCTCCATTTTTTCGAGGGAGATTTTCGGTGCGGCTTCCGTGCGATCGGTTTTTCCTATGCTTCTTTCATTGTGTAAGTCAATTGGCCAACTCTCCGTTATCAAGCCGCTGGCTCGGACCTCACATTTGTGATTTTCAATCTGGCGGTTTTCTCTGACCTCGATCTTTTGCTTTATATGGTTTGCCTAAGATAACTATTGTGCACTCAATTTCTAGCGGAATGTGTGATGGAACATTACTCGCTACCATATATAATCATCTTTGTAAGATTTTAGCGACACGTTACTGAGCTTCTCCATAACCAGGATGTTCTAGATGCTACCAGTAGCGATTATGGCAGTTTGAGTAATGGAGGTGGGTTTCTTATATGGGTAAATTTGATTGCACCTATTAGATGCTGTATGTAAATCCGCTTGAAACAACAAATTATTCAAAGGCACACCCCACGGTTGTGCCATTGAAGTGAATCACCAGAGTGGAGAAGGGAGAGCGGTCCGCAAGCGCACAGGATGTACTGACTTCGCTGTACGAAATTGCCAACCAGAGGCGCTAACGCTTGAGCATGCACAAGGGGCATCTAGCACCAGGGATTCAGCACAGAAATCGACCTCGAAAGCCATGTCCTTTCATTTCATCTGGCCATCCACGCTTTCTCATTTACGGTATTTTCCTCTTCTCGGCGCTCGGACTTATCTTACTGACTCGTCTTCTTATCTCTTCAAATCCTTGCCGGCTTGGAGGGGCCTCTAACTCTATCGTCCATTTAGCACCTATACTTTCATTTTGCGGAATAATCGTACCGGTTTCATATCGGGGTATGCTTCTGAAAAGCCGTCTGCTCTCCACTGCTGATACCTGCTCCCGTTGTTCGTTCCTCATATGACAACAGCCTGTCACAAAAAGCAGCACAGGTGCGTGTTGATCCGGCAAAATTCCATCATATTCAACCATCTCGCTTTTATTTATGCAAATTGGATTTGGCTTCCGGGGTTGATCAATCCCTGTTTATGATGTGTCACGCCTACTGAATATTTCCATTCATAATCGTCGTAGTACTTGAACGGATTGGCCCATGAAATGACTTTCGGGTGTTATCCGATGTGTAAGTCAGTGGTTTTATCCCCATCGGCGATCCTGGTACCAACTGTGACCCTGAATAAATGGAAGGCTTGGGTGGTCTATGCGAAGCGAAAGCCGGTATTCGATCAGAGACCACACGCTTTGTTGGCTATCGCACTTGCTATGCGCCGCTTCTGCCCACCCATCCAAGCAAAATGAAGAAATTCCAATGTTTCTCTGACTTGACATTTCAGAAAGAGAAGACTATGCTGGTGATTCCAGTCCATGAAAAGGTCAATGGATGCGATTGCTGGCAAATTCAGATGTTTTCCTGCTGCACTCTTTGTTCAGAAATTTACGACTCTTTAGTCATGGTTTATTTTTTAATGTCTGCCTGCACGATTTCTACTGAGCAATCCTTGTATGTATACAGTGGGCATCAGTCCAGTCACCGTAGTCCACCTTGTGGACATGTGGACGCCTATAATTAGTTGTTGACACCCGTGTGTTGGCAAATACAAAAAGGCACACTTTGGGATCAGGCTATCCTACCGTAATCTCTGGAAGAGAAACAACGATATCTATAAAGGACTCCTAAGACGTTTATAAAACTACTTCAAGAAACGTAACTTTGATTATGAAGGCCTGCTTTCTACACACATGGTATAATCCAATACCCCGGTTGCTTTGGTTCTAAGTAAAAGCATCACTGTTCTATTCTGGTGACGAAAAGAAGAGATACTCTGATAAAAAATGATCAATACCACAAAAAAATTATCGATACCCCAGAAATACAAGGTTTTTCCGGGAGTGAAATGCAACTCGTGATATCGTTGTAACGTTTATGAATCTGGTCATTCCAAGGTGCACTCTATATTGTATAGATTCTTACTTCAAGATTCAGATAACCCTCCCATGTTAATACATTTATAATATGTATTATACCATTTGGCTAGAGCCCAGCAGAACTATCGCGCTCTGCTTAATAGCCTGTTTCTTACATTTATTTTTTTGCTCCTCCAAAGCTGTAATGGATCCATTTTTATCTACTATTCTTTCTCATTAGAACTTAGAAGTTTTTTCCTTGAGAACAGTTCCCGAGTATTCTTTTTCTGTAGGAGAAGTTAGAATTCAATTCTTTTGTGTTCTCATTCCATGAAGGAAGCATTACAGAGACTAAGTCGAATGTATAGAAATCAAAATTTGTAGATCTCTTTTTTTTTCTGTTTTTTTTGAGTACCTAATTAATGAAATAAAGCAATTTTGTTACTGTATGATATCCTGAAGATGGCAATTTACTCGATTCCTACGGTGACAGAGATTGCTCTATGTTAATCCATTCTTACTCGAACTAGAACTTTATGGTCCCTCTTCCTGAAGGGGCTTGGCCAGTCATGGGTGACTGGGTAGCCTCGAAGGTAATTAATTGACATTGATTTTTAAAGCCATTTCCTTCCTAGAAGAAATAAATGCGTTCTCTGCTGAACCTCTTGTTCAGTTTTTCAGGTTTAACAACCTCAACTAAACCTTCCACGCGTGTGGGGCAGACTGGTTAGGCCGGTGTCAGACTGCGAATTCACAAATTTGTTAGGGTGGGTGTTCGCCAGAGCTTAGGACGATGCACCAGTGAATTTCAGCCTCTGAATTCGCTGGTGCACCACTCGTCCTGCCGAATCGCCAGTGAAACCCCTAATCGCTGGCGAATCCGTGAACTTGCAAAACCTGACACCCACCCTACATCGAAGTTCAATGATCAACGCGTCAATTACTACATGGTCAAGGCGCTTTTGCTATCGGGTTAAGTATGAATTCGTGAAGGTACCATTAAATTAGTATAACTTGTCAGAGATATACAAATTCGTCAGCCTCGAAGTGCACGCTTGAAACACACACTGCGTGCTGCGTCCGGAAGCAATAACAAGCAATTAAAACGAGCTGGTCGAGGAAAACAGCGCGATTGGGGCGGCCTTTTGGTTTGGATTTGGACCTCAAAGGGGCTGCTCTTGGTGTAATCGTAATCTAGCTCTTAATGTCGGTGTACCGTCAGGGTTAATCGAAGTCAGGTTGAGGCTAGAGTAAGTCGTATAGGGGCTGCGTTAGAACTGGGTCGAGTATAGGACAAGCAACTCATGTCAGCACCATTAACTTTAAATAAGAAGCAGAAGAGAAGCTTCTGTACCTTGCGCATGTATGCATTTTCTGAACAGATCGGGAAACACTATGTATTGCTAAGAACAGGCACAACGAACATGCAAACACAACAACAGACCTAGGCTAGCAATCATTATT